CAACTTCATTTTCTGTAATCTCTCAGCTGGTATACTAGCTAGGGGCGATGAGAGCTGAAGTGTGTTGGGCCTTTGGACATTTGTAATCCGAGAATTTCTGAATGGTGATAGGTCTGGATAGAAAACAAAGGAGTTGTGGCTATTTCATTCATGTTTGCTTCCAGTAAAAATACCACCCCTTTTTTATTTGTACTAATTCAACCTTTCTCCGTCTAATCCTTCCCAGTGTGCTGGGACTGCAACATTTATTGGCCCTGCAGGCTGCTGGTGATGGGATTGTAGTCCTAACACCATCTGGAAGGTCTGGGTGATAGGAAGAAGGAGGGCTGTGTTAGTTTTCTGCTATCACAGCACAGCACCTGGAAGGTGCTGAAACAATTCACATTTGGGTTTGCCCAGATGCAGTCTGTCCAATCTTCTATAGACCAAGAAATCAGGTTTGTTTGCTCTATTCAAAATTTCCTCTTTGTAATAACAGCAAGTACTGTATATCTCTGGCTGGAAGTAGGAGAACCGATGAACTGTCACAAAGTTAGGATATTTGTTAAAGAAATAGGTACTGAGTGAATCTGGACTGCAAACATGGTTTTATAAAAAGCTTAAATATGTGGTTCGTTCTACTGATTTTATCAGATTTTCTTTTTAACAAGAGCCTATTGATTTCTCCAATTCCTGTTCCTTTCATCTTTGTACAGGTAGATTCTGCCAGCATTTTGACTGGGAATGACATCTGCCCAAGAGGGCATTTCTGCCCCCTTGGGACTGGATTTCCCATCCCTTGCTCACCTGGCTCCTTTTCCACTATGCTGGGCCTGAAAGCAGACAGTGAATGCCTACCTTGCCCAGCAGGATTCATCTGCAGCCAGTCAGGGACATCTGACCTGTCCCAGATGATACCATGTAATGAAGGGTAAGACGCAGACATGCAGGTTCCCAGCAGAGGAAATGACAGTCTCTAATCACAAAATCATTTTCTCAAAATGACTGGGCCAGTTTGAGTGTGGCAAGCAGATCTGACGATTCAACTGGTTCTGGAGACCATCACAGGTGGCAGAAGGTAGGGAAAGGAGAACTGGTCATTTGAATCCTGTCTTGGAAGCAAACCTTTGACTATAGAAATGCTTGAACCAAATACCAATCCTCTTTCCTTTGTACTAATACAACCTTTCCCCATCCAAATTCATTGGCCGCAAGGGCTATTGGTGATGGGATTTGTAGTCTTAACAGCATCTGGAGGGTTTGGGTGATTGCAAGAAGGAAAGCATAGTTTTCTGCAAGCTGTTTAGAAATGTCATCACTCCATCCAAAGTTATTTTGCCAACCATAAAGGAAGAGTGGGACTAGCGACATTTTGCAGCGAGCCATGTTCCAATGTAAGATGTTCCATTCCATCTCATTTGCCCATGTTTTGTCTACTCTGACTGTCAGACAGCGATCCATAACTCTGAATATTATTCTTGTTAGAAATTTTCCTTCTGCTAAAGGTGGGTTGTACTTTCATATCCCCAGACGTGTCTTGTGCATTTATGGAATCCTGTTAAATGCAATCGTACAAAGAGAACTGAGTGTGTTGCTAGGTAGGTAACATCGCTAGAGATCCCTTGTAAATAACTTGGTACGTGCTGATATAACAAATGGAACAGAACAGAATGCAGGAAGCCCCAGACAAAACAGTATGCTGGGCAGAGGGGCAACGTTTTGGAAATGAAGTGGGTAAGAATGGCCACAACTGAAGAGGTGAAATGCAGGGAATGAGGCTATCCTTGGAGCAGATTTCCTCAACCTGCCAGAAGACACTAGGTTGGGACAGGCAACCTTCCATACACAAAGCATAAGAACATTTTGCTGTGCAAGCACTCAGGAAATACTGGGTGGTAAAGACGTGACTGTAATGCGCGTTTGTGTTTTAAGTCTTCTCTGCTGGCCCAGAGCATCTTAGAACCTATTCTCAGATTGCAAAGAATGCTCAGAAAAGGCTACCAAAATACTGGATACACCATCTCATGCAATTAAAGAGTGAAGCTTCATTCATTTCCTGCTATCAAATGGAAAACCCAGACAGGGGAAGCAATTGCACTTAAGTCCTGCTCCCACTATCCTCAGCTCACCATTTTGCCACCAAGAATGTTTCTTTTCATTCACCCCTTATGGGGCATGGTGGGATGGTGTAGTTACCTTTCTTTGGGGCTTTGTGACTTGGTCAAGATAGTAGAAAACTTCTGCTCCATCTCTCAGTGATGGAAACAAAGGCTTCAGGGAACCTGTTTTTGAAGTGTCAGGGTTTAAGAGAATTCAGTTTAAACTATTTGGGGATGAGGATCCTACCCTTTAAAGGAGACTACCAGGTTAAAAAACTACAACTGCTCCTTTCTCACATTCACAGGTATGTTTGCCTTGAAGGCAACTCTGTCCCCTGTCCTAATGATGGAATACATGGATATCGATGCCCTAAAGGTTTCCACTGTCCACAAGGTACCAGCTTGGAAGTGCCCTGTGAGCCTGGGATGTTTGGCCCCACTGATGGAGCTAGTGTCTGCCTCCCTTGCCCAGCAGGTACTGCCTGTCGACGTGTTGCCACAGTGGAACCAGTCATCTGCCCTCGAGGTAAAGCAGGGTACAGACTTCATTTGATATATAACATGAGAAACATGTACTCTGTTAGATGAAGATTAAGGAGGTCACCCTCTTTTTTTCCCATCATATCTATGTTCTTCCATGCTATTCAGAGTTTCCAAACCATGGGAACTAACAGTTCTGCATTGGTGTGTCCTCTTCTTGAATCTACTTCTGGATACCAAACTTGAAGAAATGTTCAGTAAAACTGGAATAGATTCAGAGAAGGACAACCCAGATGGTCAGGAGACTAGGGACAAAGACCTATCAGGAAGGACTGGGGGATATGTTTACTCTTGAGAAAAGATGAGTGAAGCGATGTCCTACAGAAAAGACCTATTCTGTGTCATCTCAGGGACAGAGACAGGACACAGGTAATCTTCTTATGTTATGCAAAGGCAAATTCCATTTGAATGGTAGACTCCCCTTCTCTGGATGTGATCAAACCCAAGGTGGACTCTCAACAGATCTTTTCCTTTTTTCCTTTTCCTTTTCCTTTTTTCACTGAGCAGGAAGTGGGATTTGGGAAGCTTAATCCTAGATTCATTAGGTTCACAGTCTCAAGTTCCTTGGAAAATATGAAAAGTATTTTAAATATGAAGCTTCCCAGGTGATGTAATCTAGCTTACTTGGTCTGGACTCTGAAACTAAGCAGGGTCCAACAGAGTTAGTACTTATATAGAAAACTACCAGGAGATCCCAGGGGTGTAAGAAACAGGAAGTCAAGAAACATCCCAGAAGACAGTGATTGACAGCTTCTAGACTGTTGCCAAGAAAACTGCATAGATGAAGTCACCAGAAATCAAGCTCAATTCAAAGAAGAAGTTGACATTTGAAGTATGATTATAGCCTATTAATTCCGTCTCACTTTTGGCAGGGTATTACTGCCCAGCCCAGACAGCCATGCCCTCACCATGCCCAGCCGGTTTACTAAATGCCCTGGAGGGAGCTTCATCCATCAGTGCTTGCAAGCCATGCCCAGTTGGGAGCTACTGCAGGGGTAATGCCAACTGGAAGCCTGATGGTAAGAAACCTTGGCCACCCACTCCTACATTATCCCATAGCTGTATTAAGCTGCCTTTTTGAAGAAAACCAACACAGCCATTTTCTTTTTGAAGTTGTGGATATTTTTGTTTTTATTTGTTTGTTTGCTTGCTTGTTTTACATATAGGTCTATGTTTGAGATTCCCACCGTCTGCACTGCCACTTCCTGGACCATATTATTAGCAGTTCATTCATTCTCAAGAGAATAGAAATGTCCTCTTCCTCCTCTGTTTTGGCAGGTTTCTGCACTGCTGGGTTTTACTGTGCTGGGGGAGCATTTGATGCGGTCCCTCAAAGCTCACCTGAGTTTCCACTCAACGGACCCTGCCCCCAAGGGCACTTTTGCCCAGAAGGCACTCAATCTCCCATTGCCTGTCCAGTGGGCACTTTGAATCATGCGCCAGGTGAGTATGGTTTGGAAGGCCATCCACAGTGCTGATTTCAATGACTGCTACCATGGGGTTTCTCCAAATACAAGGAGCTGCGTTGGTTACCCACACAAGAGTGTGCCAGATCATTGTCCTCCTTCAAAGGAGGATGACAAGTCCTATCTTCCTGCCTTCCCACCTTCCTGCCTGCTTAAGAATGAAGAATAAAAATTCTGCAGAACTCTGCAACAGGACTTGGGGAGAAATTGTAGTTAAACAGTGGGATGGAGATCTCCACGCAAGTAATGGCAGCCAATGGTCTTGGTGGGGAGAAGGGAGGGCAGGACAAGCTGTGTGCCACCCAGAGGAAGGGCAGGAGCCTTAGGGGAGATACAGGAGGGCTAGTATTTCATACCCACCTGCTCACTAGGCACTCCTACTCAGTCTCTTCTGCCCTTCTGCCAAAAGGGTGGGCAGAAAAACTTGCAGTTCTCTGATTTCAGTGCATTAAAAATACTTTTTCAAGAGTGGCTAGATCTCCTTCTCTCTACCATTTCCCTGATGTAAATCCTGCTTGCTTAACTTTGTCCTTCCCCTAAGGCAGAACAAGTCGGTGTCATTAGTGGTGAAAATAATTGCTTTGGAGGAATCATTGTAATGGTGGAAACATCAAGTACAAACCGTTTTCAATAAACAGCCTTCCCATCTTTCTAATCCCAAGGTATCCTACCCTTTTTCCCTGTTGCAATTAACCTTAAAAATACATTTAAAAGAACAGAAGACTTTTCTCATGAAAGCCACCATCGGCTCACCTCTCTTCCTTTGGTTAACTAAGCTAGTGAAGGTTGTACAAATTCACTCCTTGCTGGTCCTTTGATGTGGTTCTCCAGGAATTGCTGTGCATCTTTTGATCCTGCAGGAGCTTCCTCTCTAGACTACTGTGTGCCTTGCGACCCAGGATTTTACTGTGCCGGCATGGGGTTGAGTTCGCCAACTGGATCTTGCGCTGCTGGTTTCTACTGCCCAGCAAACTTCAGCTCCTTCAGCCCAACTGCATTCCTGTGCCCGGAGGTCTGTCCTATTATCAGCTAGAATACTGTGTGCTTTAAAGTGATCTCATGGGGGCAAGTTATGGCCGTCAGTAGGAATGAGGCACGTGGGACATTTCAGTAGTTGAATATTAGGAAAAACTTCCTTTAGCTAAGAGCAATGCAATAGTGGAAGCAATTATCAATCAATCAATAATATTTATTTGGTCAATGCCCAGCAAATTAAAAAAACAACAACACAGAATCAGAGTGAAGCAAATGAATACAATAATATACTAAGAGCTATCAAAATAAATCACATAATAGTATAGCATTCACTCCTCTATTATTATATTGGTACATTTATATTGGTATATTATTGTATCCATTTGCTTCACTCTATTTCAATTTTTTTATTTATTGACCAAATAAATATTATTGATTGATTGAATTATTTCTCCTTCAGTGAAAGTTTCACTGAATGTTTTTATTAAGAGGTTAGACCAGTGTTTCTCAACCTTAGCAACTTTAAGATGAGTGGACTTCTCATCCACTCCCAGAATTCCCCAGTGATGTGGCCACTGTATCTAGTCCAGCATTCATTCTCCTTCAATAGATATCCAAATATTTTGAGAAAGGCCACAGGTACAGAATGAAAGCATTGCCCTTTAGTGAAAGATAAACTACTCTTTCTTTGGAGTTTCCATATTTAGCTAAAACTGCTAAACCTTCTTCCTCCATTAATTTGTCCAAATCCCCCTTTATAGCCAAAACTTTTATCATAAACTAGTTTTGATTTTTAATACATATGGATTCTCAAGTCCTTCAAATGTCATTCCTTTTTATATTAATTGGGACCATAATTCTTTCTTACATCTCATCATTCTTTGGTTCAAAACTGAACCAAATGTGAATATAGGTTCTTCCATACCGCCATTTCCCTTCCTCGATTTCTCTGAAAGAGTTTGAAAATGGTCTGCAAACACCTGCTGACCTAAAAACAGTGACAACTGTAGGGCAGTGAATTAAGCTCAGTGTATGTAACGTAATAGATTAAATTAAATGTCATGAAATGCCATACGCTTACCGTGATGCCCTTCTAAAGGAAACTGCACCTGCAGAATAGCACATCATTAAAGAATTTTGGGGTGGGTGGGGGAATCTAGACCTATATGACCTCCCTCCTTAGAATTTTAGAGGAAGGAAGGAAGGAAGGAAGGAAGGAAGGAAGGAAGGAAGGAAGGAAGGA